CGTTAAGTGAGTCACTACTGGTGGAAGGTTATAATTACATGTATATCTCCCCACCCTCATTTTCCCATTATGCATTTAAGTAGGTTGAAGTAAGTAAGTTGTAGTGTAGATTGAAGAGTGGACTGAGTAAAGTGCGAGGTACTGAAGAGCCACAGGTCGTTAGGCTGTGTGATAATGAGGACAGCCACTCAGATCCGGTCCTTCTTGAGGTACAATACCAGAAAACCAACTGGCTAATTTACACTCGAGTATATATAACCACCCAGATAACAGCCACTCACAGTTATGGCATTTCAGAGTTCAGTCACGATTACCTGTCAATCAGACCACCAGCCACCCAGAACATAATAAGGCACTCTTGACGGGGTAAATCAGAACATGACTTTACGTTATCAAGCATGATGGAGGGGGGGGGGAGAGAGAAGTAACTTTAGGGATCAGTCAGTTGGTGAGTGAGTGAGGCAGTTGTAAGGTATTCTCTCTCTCTATTTAAGCACCAGATTAAATAGATAAAAATGTCTTAAAAAACTCATAAGATCAACGTAAAAGAAAGAAAAAGAAAACTTCACAATATGGCGTCAAAATGGCACTGAGACTGTGTTATCGTCAGCACAACCACTTCTCCTCCTTCCTTCCCTCTCCTCCCTCCCTATCCCCATCCACCCCCTTCCTTAACCCCCTAAAAACCCCAAACTTATTATTTCTATTAGACGAAAATGAAAGACTCATCACCCTGCCTGGCTAACCATTCTTCTAAATCCCCTCCCAAAAAAAACAATGGCGGTGAAATTGCTTGGGACTGTATCGCCAATAACCGTAACAAATTACATACAGGATTGGTTTATCGAATACAAATTGAGATTTGAGACCAGTTTGTTGCTAAACCTTCGACCTTGGGGGGAGGAGGGGGGATAGTGATAGGATAGTTTAGTGTATAGAGATAGATCTTGGAATGGTGTGTTGATAGATGATGAGGTGGATAGAGAGGTAGAGGTATAGTGGTGACCTCTTGACCTCTTGACAATGATCTACCAGGACTCTGCTTCAGTGCTCGATTTTACTGAACTGCACACCAACTCTCTCTCTCTCTCTCTCTCTCTCTCTCTCTCTCTCTCTCTCTCTCTCTACTCTCTCTCTCTCTCTCTCTCTTGTATTTATATATACAAGGATTATTTCCTCAAGTATAACCATAAAGAATATTAACAATCTTTCTGCCAAGACTAAACTTAGGGTATACAGTAGTAGTAGTAACAGACAGACCCAGACAGCCAGACAGACAGACAGACAGACAGACCAGACAGACCAGACAGACAGACAGAGACAGAGCAGACAGACAGACCAGACAGACAGACAGACAGACCAGACAGACAGTCTCTCTTCCTCGTAACTTTAGAAGCAAACATTACAAGTTGAGGAATAATCTACGTCATTTCATTGTAGTGACGAGAGATGCAGGAGGTGGGTGAGGGGGAGTTGAGTGGGAGGTTATGGGTGAGAGGGTTGAGTGGAGTCATCAGTAGAGAAGGTGAGTGGTAGGTCTTAGTTGGGAGGGGGTGAAGGGACAGCGTGGGTGGGAGGGTGAGTGGGAGAGGATAATTGGAGGTCATGGTTGGGAGTGGGTGAGTGGGAGGTCATGGTAGGGAGGGGTTGAGTGGGAGAACATGGGTGGGAGAGGGGTGAGTGGGAGGTCATGGGTGGGAGGGGGTGAGTTGGTAGAAGGATTGTTCACTTCTATTTGTGTGGTAGAGAAGAAAGGGATGAAAGAGAGCTTTAGAGTGGGGTGTGTGGATAGTTTGAGTTTAGTTTAACAAATTTATTGGAGAGCTTGTGTGTACAGTTTGCTTATTCTGGGTAATTCAGTCAGGTCTTGACACTGAGGGGTGGTATCACTTCTCACTGTCATGCAGGACAGGGATTCAACCAGAAATACATCATATTCATTAACAGCTATAAATGTATATAGGTCAGATTCATGTGGTAATGTCACTGTTCCTGCCATGCAGGACAGAGTTCATACAAAGTTGCATCATATTCAATGACAGTACATATACATATATGTAAACACACACACATATTGATATATACATATACGTATATATCTGTACATACATATACATGTACATGTACATATACATGTACATGTACATATCTATGCACACACGCACATACATATACGTCGGTCCAGATTCATGTGGGTAATGTCACTGTTCACTGCAACACAGGACAGAGGTTCGTACACAAGAAGGAAATACATCACATTGAGAGGGATGGTAGTACAGTAGTTAGTGGGACGACGACCTAGTTCACAATATTGGCCAGCATATGCATTATATTTAGTTATTGAAGCTGGTTTTAGAAGCCGTTTGTCTGGTTAGCTACCCGCATTGTGAGGTGAGGTGAGGTGAGGTTGAGGTTGAGGATTTGAGGTGAGGGTGAGGTTAAGTTAGGTTAGGTTAAGTTAGGTTAGGTTGGTTTACGTTAGGTTACATTGGCTACACCATTTGCTGAGGTTTGGCTAAGTTCTCAGGGCAGGCCATCACTAATATAGAATAACAACACAACTACAACACGGAACACAATACAACACATGGAACACAACACAACACAGTCTAACACACATGGAACACAACATAATACAACTCTTCAACACAACAAAACACAACTGATACAACACATGGAACACAACACAATACAGCAAAAACACAACAAAACTAACACAATACAACTGACAATAAACACAACAAAACACAACGGATACAACACAACACATTAGGAAGGCTAACCGCAACAAACAGAAGGTTCCATATACGGCTCGACGCCTTGAAGGACGCCGCAAACATTGACCAGATGCATCATACATAACCCGATCTTGTCCCTATCACCGCCCTCCGAGTCGTCTGGTGTATGTGGCGTTCTGATGTCACTACACCCTCCTGCCGCTCAGAACTTCCTCAACACAACCAAACACAGTATTTGTGGATACTAGACTATGATGTATCTTCTGTATAACTTCTTAAGTGTATCCAGAATGAATTACTTACTTTACTACATAAGTTAAGAAAATTATGTGACTCATTTTTACATCTGAAATACTTGTCATTGTATATAAGTTAAGATACTAAATAGATATTTAAGTTAAATGCATCTAACTACAATTCATATTTGGGTTAGAGTATTAAGTTTATGATAACTTTCAACTCACAGGCTTCTCTAACCTGTGGTACTGTTAATTAAACCTGAATTTATACCTATACATCTGAATGAATTTATAATACTGTAACCGCCTGGGAATTTATATATTCCGTATGTTTTATGTCTGTATCTCTACTGTACATTTAATTATGAATAAACAATAATAATAAAATATCCTTTTACCTTTAGAAGTTCACTAGGATAACTTTATTTAAATCATACAATGTTTCTCTCGAAAGTAAATGGAAAGTTTATTATTGCTTCTCTTTTTTTTTTTTGAAATTGGAATTAATTAAATGTTTTTGTACTTCTGTTGTTCATTTCTAGGACGATTCTCTGTTCAGCCGGAGGTCGGTGGCTGGGTGGAACAATACCAGGTGTTACCGAGACAGTGAGGATATTTCTGGAACAATGAGGAAGTCTTTAGGGAAGAGAGAGAGAAGAAAGCCCAAGTATGTGGGGAGAAGTGGTTTGGAGAAAATAGACTGTGAGAGAGAGAGGGGGGTTGGTTGAATCTATCCTTATCACCTCAGAGTTGAGCCGCTCCTCATCACCTTCCTCATGAAGTGTGGTGGCGGGGATTCGCTCTTCAGGCCAATGAGAGAGAGACTGTGAGGCTACCGTTGGCCTTACAGCAATACGTAACTTCT